ATCAACAAGGGTGGTGCCAAGGAAGAATCATCCAACTACCGTCCGGTAAGTCTGCTTTCCTTACCACGCAAGGTCCTGGAGTGTGTTCTTATACCGCGACTGGGCTCACATGTAGCAGAACACTGCCTAATTGCTATGTGCCAGCATGGGTTCACGAAAACGAGGTACTGTCTCACAAATCTTTTGTCTTTCCTGAAGTTACGAGCAGAACTAATCGGGGTGAGACAATTGAGGTGTGTTACATGAACTTTCAAAAGCCTTCGATTCCGTCAACCACCGGTACCTCCTGGCCAAGATGAAGGCACTCAGTATAAATGAAGGGACCCTACAGTGGTTTGCAGCTTACCTAAGAAACCAGTCTTTTTACGTCAAGGTGAACGAAGCGATATCTAGACAAGCAGGCGTCTCCTGCGGGGTTCCACAGGGTTCAGTTCTGGGGCCGCTCCTGTTCTTGATCTATGCCAACGACGTGGCCGGGGTCCTGGTTCTCCGACATTCATCTTCGCAGATGATCTCAAACTGTTAGGTAGGCCGTATGGTAACGAAATGCAGGAAAGCCTCAATATGATATACACCTGGGCGGCAGAGTGGAGGCTCCCGATAACCCAGACAAGTGCAGCCACCCAAAGAACTCACGGATATTGGTGGACCGCCACCTGAATACGGAGAACCCCAGGACAGTCCCACAAGTAGAAGTGAAAGACCTAGGGGTCCTCGTGACCCACCATTTCACGCTATTCGAGCAATGCCGGGTTGCGGCCACCAAGGCCAACCGAGCACTGTACTAACCGCTGCGTACAGTTGCCTGAAGGGAGGTCGGAGTAATAGTGTCTATATACAAGGCATTTGTGAGACCGCACCTGGATTATTGCATCCAAGTATGGGCACCAGTACCGGTTTGGGACACCAAGCTACGAGAAGGTATACAGCGCTGCTTGAAGAAAATCGTCGTAGAACTTAGAAACTTGAGCTACGACGAGAGGCTTTGGAGGATGAAGCTGTTCTTCCTTAAAGGAAGGACGTTGAGAGGGGATTTAGTGGAGACCTTTAATTTGCTAAAGGGATTCACGACTACTGACAAACCTCTCTTTAGCCTCAGTAGAAACCCAGCACTGAGAGAGCAAGCATGGAAGCTTGACAAACCCAGAGCGAGTACTACCACTGGAGCACAGCTTTTCTCGTGCAGGGTGATTAACGCCTGGAACAAGCTACCTGCGAATGTGGTAGCGGCAGCAACAGTTACCGTCTTAAGACTTAAATTTAAGCCCCGATTAGAACAGTTTTGGGAGGAAGTGTTCGCGGAGGAGCTCCATCCTTAGGAGTCCCCTGAGACTACTTATTTTGTTTCCTTCAGTCCTGCACTATACTATTTACTATTAAACCTCATACTTTAATAGTGCTCCACTTTTGATTTATACTGGCGCCCCCTCCCCAACTCTTTCGACTCGCCCGGGACCTTGCTGGAGAGATCAACCATGAGGGGGAGTGTGCGACGTGGAATAAGCGGCGTGAAACTGCAAAATTCCGAATGGCTGGTCCTTCTGACAGAGTACGCGGGCTGCCACCCATACTCTTTCGCAGACGGAGAACGACGACAAATACATACAATACACTGTCGAAGCGCTGTGAGAAGATGACAGCAGCTCATCAGTACAAGAATCTGGACGGAACCTGACCTCATTCGTATGTCCTGGGACCCAACCTGACCTGGCTCATCATGTACTGACATGACTTGATTTGAGTTCGGCAATTGTCTTGTTTCAATAGAAAATGGTACAAACTGTATTCTTTTAACGGAGTTTCTCATAGTAAATGTAAATAGAGACCTCCGAGTTAATGAAGGCAGTAAGAAAAGAAATAATGATAACCGTGACCAAGTATTTCCAACGCTAAAACTATGTTTTACAGGTTTTTCGGTCTATACGTGTGATGTGCCCATTTGGTAGACTGCTAGGTCACCGACATCAGCACATTATTTTTCACATGTTTTATGATGTCTCAAAACCCACCGTTTATACAGTGGATCACGGACTATTTTTCTAAGTTGTCAGATAACTTAGATGTGGAAGTGTTATCTGAATATGTTTCCGGAGTATTAGAAGCGTTCACTTCCCCGGACGTCGATTTGCGCTCGGAGGTCGAAACTCTATTATCCGCCTATCTGGTAAGTTTCCCCAGTGGTTCATACGCCGTGACAGAACTCGGTTAATTTTTTTTACGGTAGCATTTCGTCTTCTTGTTTCTCCTTTGTTCATTAACCCTCGTGGGTTCAGTTACACGCTGCATATCCAGCGTTTTTATTCAGGTCAGGTCCCAGGACGTGCGGCTTGCGTCAAATACCGCCCAGTTTCTCGCACTGATAAGCTGCGATCGTCTTCTCACAATGTTTCGACAGCTTATCGTTTGTATTCCGCGTCGTTCTACGTCTGCGAACGAGTAGCACTGGCAGCCCGAATACTCTGTCAGAATGACCAGTCATTCGGAGTTGTGCAGGTTCACATCGCTTATCCGACGTCGCACACTATCCCTCATGGTCGATACCTCCAGAAGGATCCCAGGCAAGTTAAAGGATTTCGGTGGATGCCCTATTATAAATCAAAAGTAGCGTACTTTCAAGGTTAAGTAGAATGAAGCGGGACGCAAAAATGGTGAATATGTAATCTGAGGACACTCCTAAGGATGGAACACTTCCTACCAACACTGGTCTAGCCGGAGCAAGAAGAAGGCAACTATTTCTGCCGCTACCACATCCGCAGGTAGCTTGTTCTAGGCGGTAATTACCCCACACGAGGAACATTGTTCTCTGATGATCGTTCTCGTTCTGTGTTTGCCAGTGAAGTTCGCTTTACTGTATTTCGCTGTAAAATAATAATGATGATTGCAAGAGCAAATACGATAAACTAAGACAAACGAATCAATTTAATTTTTATGTCGATTTCGAGCCGCGCCAGAAATCCCTTATATCATGTACACTTCACCTCCCGTTACACAATGTAATTCGTTGCCTCCTTGGTCGTTGTGACCGGCATTGTTACAGTCCCTAAGCTCAACTTAAAGGGTCATTCCAGGACAGGTTAATTTTAAGTCAAGCGACAAATTGCGACTTCTGTCGTATCTTTTCTTTTTTCTTTTCATTTTGACTTTCTTTTATTGAGTATACAAAGGTACAGTCTTCAAGAAAGGGGAGGCGGCCAAGCAAAGGGCTGCCATTCAACGCACAGTGGGGGAAGTAAGGCGGTGGTGTTGGGATTCGAACACACCCCCGGGGTGATAATTTAGTAATGCTAGCACCGGGCCACCACCCTCAAATTCTGAAGGCCTGTGGGGATTTAAAGAAATACAACGATTTTAGGTTGACTCCAGCAGCAGTAAATTCAGTTTTCCTCAGCACGCGTAGTACATGTGTAGAATAAGTCTGTGATATCAATTCACATTCTTCCCGTTCCGTGAATGTGGTGTCTGGCCTCGAACGAATAGACGGTTATATGGCGAGAGACAGGCAATCAACTTGGGGCAAGGACAAAACGAAGCCCGATATACCAAGTCTTGCAAACACAAGCGTTGTCAAGGTCTAAGTGCTTCCTGCGTTATATGCTTCATCGTACACGGCAGGTTTTTCCATCTTTAATGAAGCCACCTTAGTTAAACGAGGAGGACAGTGCCCTCTTCAATTGTGTTGACAACTCCGCATGGTCAGGTTTCGTTTATCCCCTACAGGATTTGCTATCTTTTCAATTTGCTAGTCTGTTTAATTGGTCCCTGATGGGCGAGAAAATCCCGGATATCTGGAAGTAAGCAATGGTTGTACCGTTCAACAGGGTGCAAAATTACAGCTGATAACTATGGCCCAGTGGACCTAACCTATGTGGTTTCTAGTAATCGGACAGCTGAAACCGAAAAGACCTCAATTTGATGAGCAGGTATCAACATCGCTTTTGGGAATAGATCTTGTCTGTTGAACCTTCTGCTGGCACGTGGCCGATGGGCGGAAGCCAAAGCCGAAAATCATTCGTCTGGCGTTATCTTCATTGACTTCAGTAAGGTTTTCGATCAAATGTCTTATGAACAGTTGTTAATAAAGCTCCGCGTCATGGGGGTCTGCAGTTGAATCACAGACATCCTAGGGAACGAACTCCTCGAACGAACCAGACTACGGGACTGGCATCCGGTGAATACCGAGTGACCCCAGGGTTTGATACTGGAACTTCTGCCGTTGAGTTTTTATCAACCATCTGCAGGCTATCTTTCGGTTCACCTCTCTGATATCTGCCCATGACTTAAAGTCTTAGAACGCCATGCGTTCGTCACGGAATGATGTCACAAGCTGATCTGGATGAATTAATGGTTCGGTCCACCAGTTTTGAACTGATGGATAATCAACTGGAGTTCGCACATGTGCATTTACGGGACGTGCAATCTGCTGCAGCCTACCATCGTGGGTCCATGCTGTTGACTACTGGTAATTATGATCTTGGCCTGATGGCATCTTTCTAGCTCAATACGTGGAAGCACACGGACAGTGTTGGCGTCTGTTTGGAGTATGTTAGGGGCAGGTCGATGGTTCTTCTGATAGTTTTTCCAAGATATTTATATTTCACATACGTGTGATTGTAGACTAAAAAAATCGGTGCAATAATCTTGATAGGAAGAAAAGAAATCCCACGATTTGCATGTAGACGGAATACTACCAGGTTGCTCAGACAAAGGTTGGTGAATTATCTTGGAGAATCCACAACCGGAGCCTTTGGCTAGCCAAAGCAGCGGGGCGGTGTGAAAACCGCAATCCATTGGGGGCCGGTGTCCAGTTCATCGGATTATACACTCTTCGGAGGGATTCAAGCGTCCAAGATGCCAAATACCTTTTCACCCAATCGAGCGGATGACCACTGCCACAACCGGAAAGGTGCGTATGGTTCTTACGCCTCCTTTTGGTTGGTTTGGAATCAGGGTTTTTGGCGAACTCCCCTAGGTAAACTGCCAGTGGTCCACCAACCCGGTTATAGTCCCACGTGTCGGCTATTCGTCCTCTCATTTTGGTGGGGAAACACCTCTGCCACGAGAAGGCAGTGAATAGGGCTTCCTCAGCAGAGGCTATTCGGGACGCTTGGTTGTATGGGGGGCATTTAACGAGGTGCAAAGGAAGGGTGACCAGCCGCAACCCTAGACACCCACCCTCGACCATACTGAGGCTTTTGGAGGCTATTGAAGTACCATCTCGTAAGACAAATCATAAACCTGTGGAGTTAGTTATCTACTTAGGCGATGGGGAATAGCAAGGTGTTCAAGCAAATGCTTGGCATTATTATTTATGAGAGGTAGCTGGGGTTCGTGTCCTAGATGAGAGAAAAGTGATACGACTTATATTGTATACATGTACATTGTATCTATATTGTTCTGCATAGGGAAAGCAAGACTGAAGAAATCAAACAGCAGTTCGTTAATCACACGAGATCCATGGATGGAACGGATCTCACTGAAAAACTTGGGCGTCGTGCTCATGATTATTGAGGAAATTAGCTTGTCATAGCCACGACGAATGAAAACCAAAATACAATGGCGTTGTCACCAACGCCATTGTATTTTGGTTTTTATTCATCATGGCTAAGACAAGTTAATTTCCTCAGCGGTCCGTTAATTTTATACTTTCGTTTACTGTCATACCGTACAGTAGTCTTAATGATTGTGACGTTTACCTCTACTGTGCATCCTGCTTGTCATGCTGTAAGGAGCTAACAATGGGTCATAATGGTCACAGCAAACCATTTTTGTCAACTGACTCCCAATCTAGCTCGAGCTGTTTCTATTCTGCGCGTCTAATTTTTCTTCCAGCCAGAAGATGTTTGCAAGACTGCCAGCGTGACCATAGTTGATGCATTCCTAGCACGTGAGTTTTTATGGTGTCACGGAGAGTTCTAATATTTTGCAAAATGTTGAACCTGACTCGAACTAAAGCGTTTATCCTGGATTCGCCATTCATTGAGTTATTCTTAAAACAATGAAATGTAAGACCATCATTCTACAAGACCTTGCTGCAGGTATTGTATTGTGCAGCTTTCTTCGGTTTGGGAATGGCGTTTGTTTTCTTCTGAGTATTTCTAACGGTTTTAATTTACCAGTAGTGTTTGGGAACATACTTTATACTTTGCATAAACAAAGTTGTCTGTGTTTTTATATCATGCTCTTGTATTTCACGTTTTCTAGTCCGACCACAACCTTTCGCCGGTTTTAGTTGCTTTCTTTTGGCTGCTCATTTGGATAAGACAATGAAGATCGGATTGTTGAGACCAGACTATAGGGAATTCATATAGACTGCGGTTACAAGAATAATGAGTAGATGCACGAGCGGTACTGTTTTTGACACCTAGCCGTATCACTCAGTGTCTTTAACCACCGGTTACTATGATCTCCGGATCCAAATCGTGGGAGCCTAACGGCACTTATGTGACTCAGTGTCCTGGTTAGAATTTTCATACCCTCATGATCGGTCTTAGTTTGCCCGCCTTTGAACTTTTTCTACTCTTTTCCTGCCTCGATTCATTTAGATCGGGCCGCCGCCTAGAACTTGGGCTGCACGAACCGAAGCCAAAACGGAAGCTAGCTTTTTCGATACACTCCTAACATCATTTAGTCCCGATGTATTTAAAAGGAAGCTAGCTTCTTTATACATCTGCGCCATGCGATAGTTTGACCGCCCCGGCACTTTTTCCAGCCTTGCCCAGCATGTGCAGAGAGAGCACGTAGAGGTAGTCGATGGTTAGGCATACGCAAAACGTGACCAAGGCATCCGAGGCGGTGCAGAGCGATTACTTCTAGTGAACGACCATCCATACCCAACACACGACTACAAACCTCGTTATTGCTCACCCGATGTTCCCACCAGGCACGAGCAATACTTCGACGGCATCGATGGTCGAATACGGAAAGTCACTTAGCATCCTCCGCTCGGAAAATTCAGGTCTCGCAACCGTAAAAGAAGAACACTGCGAACTGCGCCGATGTACACCCTTCTCTTAAGGGATGGTCAGATGTCGTGGCGGCGCAGGTTGGCGAAAGCTGCTCTGGCTTTCACCATTCGTGATGTGATCTCCCCAACACCACCATCAGCTGCGATTAAGCTCCCTAGGTACTTAAAGCTCTCAACTGCTTCTACCTGATCACCACAGAGGGCGAGTGCAGGCACAGGCTCCTGCTAGTCTTGAACAAGCACTTTGCATTTGGATGGCACAAAGCACATACCATGTCTGAATACCTCGATCACCAAGCGGTCCAAAGCGTCTTGGACCACCTGTGTGCTATCACCCATCTAGGCGATGTCGTCGGCATATTTTAGATCAAGGACTCTGTTTCCTGCTGAGAGTTCGACTTCTTTTTTTGCTAGACCGGACAAAGCATTCTGTAGAACATCCTCTATGACAAGGTTGAAAAGGAATGGGAATGTTGGTCAGCCTTGTCGAACTCCACTGGAGACGGCGAAGGGTGGCGAAAGCTGGTCATAGGCTCTAACCCAACCTGAGGTATGAGATACAGCTCTTTGAGGGTCGACGCATAGTTCTCAGATACTCCATTCCTCTACTAACAGTGACATAGTACAGTCTTATCTACAAAGTCGAAGGCTGCGTGAATGTCTAAGAACACATTGATAGTTAATCTTCGATAGGCCTTATGGTGAACTAGCAGTTTTCGGAGGGTAAAGATTTGATCGATCCATCCACGACCGGCGCGAAACCCAGTCTTCTCATCGCTTTCCGGTCTTCACGTGTCTTCTACAATTGGTGTAGAATGACGGACGCCAACAGCTTTGATGCCGTTGGGACCAGGCTTATACCCCTTTGATTGGCCCAGTTACTGCGCGGGCTCTTTTTGAAGATGGGGACGAGAATCGATTCCCCCCAAGAAGAGGGCACCTACACAGTGTTCCACACTTTAGATAACAGGGCCTCTAGTTCTCTTTATTTCACCATCTTTAACTAGAGCTGGAGGAAAGCTATCGGAGCCTGGCGCTTAGTGATGTCCCAAGGCTTGGACCACCTTACGGATTTCCGCCTTAGAAGGCGAGTCTATTGAAGGAAATCATGGGACGTTTGCCGGAATAGCTGCGTAAGAAGCTGACGCTGTTGGCCAGATTCGAGGTGCTCCGTTCAGCTTGCAAGACGTCGCTTTTGATTATGAATGTGCGCACCGTTAACTTCGCAGATTGTTTCCATCACACCCAAAGCTTTCCTACCGGTAACCGGGATGAGATGAGTTTCCCATGGCGGCAGCACGTTCCATCTCTGATGAGTATTGAGTCCACCAGATTTCTCAGTCTCTGCGTAAGCTTGCTTTGAGGTTACGTCTCGTTATGAGTCATATTTCATTATGCTCGCTTCCGGTCGGGGTTGATCGGCGTGCGTTGCAATGTATGGACTCCGCAGAAGTCCAGGTTGTCGTGGCACGTGTCAGACCACAATGAACTAAACCACTAGAATGCAAAGTATTTGTGATAAGCGCCCAGTGCTGGTTAATGCCATCGGATGAAGTTGGTTCTAGCTTTTCAACTAGCGCGTTTTGATTGCCAGTTACCCAGGCTGGTCTGGACAGCTTATCACATTCTAACCGTTGTGTCACCCACCGAAGCACATGAACAACTTTCCGCAAAAGAATGCGTGGTAGAATTCAAGGGAGTGCTCCAGTACGAAAGGCGGTCTTACTTGCAGCCCCGCCATTTGCGGCTTACAATGATTTGGTCGATTTCCGTTCGTCATTGGTTCCAGGAGGGTGGACGCCAAGTGGCGTACCGGCACTTGGATCGTCTAAATTTCGTACTGGAGAGGAGTAGATGGTGATCGGAACATAGAACCAGCAGCCGTTCCCCGGCTGCTTACTTTGCACGAACCTCTGAGTTTCACTGCGCACAACCTGCTGTTGACCGTGATCCAGTCTAGGAGTGCGGCTTCAGCTGTCTCACTGAGAGCCACACCAACGTCAGCATGATCGGAAGCCGCGGCCTCAGGGCGTAAGTCATCATCATCATCGTTGTACAGCGTAATACGGTGAAAAGAACTTCACTGATCGCTGCCAAACTCATATTGCATACAAGGGAAGTGAGAATGTGTAAGGAGGACAGAGATCGGACCTATTCTTAGGGACGGGAAAAGAAAGCGAACCCCTATCATCAACACAGAGTACACAGTTCAGTTGTGCATACATACTATTCCAAGTATTCTGATCTGATAAGGAGTAATAGCATGATAGCCATTGCTGTCGGTTCGCAGCCGTGGTCTTCAGTGTCTTCAACCATGCGGTTTCGGAGTCTTTTGGACCCCAACCCGGAAGCCGAGAGACACCTACTCTACCTGATCGCTCTGTGCATTCCTTTATGCCTCGTCTCCACGTCATCTGGTGGCCTCCATGTGGCTTTCTCCAGCCTGTAACAGCCACTGCAGACAAGGCGTGCTGTGGCAGGCGACCGTCGGACATACGCAACACGTGTCCTAACTAACGAAGCATATTGA